CAATATTCTATCTAAACAAAGTATTAGTATTAGATGAGATAAATGTGGAGTCCACTTTTTTTTAATACTTGAATCAGACATGAGGTGTGGAGATATTATCACTTTAATTAGCTCAAAAGCCGGATGGATGAGTATGGGATGGACTTGTTTGTCCAAATCTGATCCTTTCTAATACTTAAACCAAACACACCGGTTGGGAGTGTTTGCTTTAAGTATTATGGGTTTGGCTCTTTTAAAATTGATGGGAGATATTGTTGCTATTTTCACAACATTTGAGGCTGTTTGACAGATTGTGCAAACGGACTGATTGCTAATGTTGAATTGATGCTCATGGGAGTAGTACATATCATGATCTTACAAAGCAGCAAGCAACCTTACATTTTGGTCTCTAGCAGCATTATCTAGGCCATCTACCATGGTCTTGCAAAATTAACTATTTATGTGAAAAAGTCCAATCATTCAGTTAGCATTTCAGTTTGTTACTCTTAACTAATTCGTAACTCGGAATTGTGATGTTTTTTTTTATACTGACCTCTAAATCTCTGATCAAGGGTTATGGATTGACTGAAACAACTGGTTCAGCCTTTCGAGCAGTGGGTCCAGAAGAAAGTCTCCGTTGGGGTTCAGTGGGAAGGCTAAATGCCAACTGTGAAGCAAAACTTGTGGATCCAGACACAGGCGTTGCTTTGCCTCCGGGAAACCAAGGAGAGCTCTGGATTAGAGGACCCTTAGTAATGAAAGGTAATGCTTTCTAGTTTAAACCCTTCCTGATTCCTCTTTGCACTTGCGCCAACCACCAGGTCAGGGCCAGCCCTACTCAATCTAAATTCTAGTTTCCAGTGAAAGTTTTAAGGATAGTGGGAGACAGACCCAAAAAAATGAGACCAAATGATGCGGTGCGACCATTATGTGCAAATTTTGAATTTTAAATGAGTAATATGAGACTAAAAATACTATCACGCCACTAACACATCGTTTAATCCCATTTTTAATTGGTCTAGCGTTACCCATGTTTTAAACGACCATTTCAATACTCAATAGAAGAATATAACTAATCTGTTTTTTTTCTTAGGTTATATTGGAAATCCGAAGGAAACTTCTGAAACCCTAGTTGGTGATGGATGGTTGAGGACTGGTGATTTGTGTTACATTGATGAGGAAGGATTTCTTTACGTCGTAGATAGGCTTAAGGAGTTAATCAAATACAAGGGATACCAGGTAATATTCCACGAGTGTGTGAAACCTATCACTACAATTCTACAAATTCAAGGTCTAACATGGTATATATATGTATATAATGTAGGTGCCCCCTGCTGAACTAGAACAATTGCTTCTGTCCCACCTGGAGATTGATGATGCTGCAGTGATACCGTAAGCCTTGATTTTGCTTGAATGCACTCCTCACCTTGCCTCCATAGCATAGAATTTAAGCTTTAAAATGGAATTCTGCACTTTTCTGACTTTCTTCATCCTATTTTTTACTAGCTTTCGATTAATTTACATTCTGAGGTGATCAAGATGAACTTTGGCATTGAGATGAGCTTAATACTGGTGTCAATCATAGATCTAATTAAGCATTATTCATTGTTCAACAGAACGTCAATGGCAAGCTCGGTGTCCAATATTTACTAGCACTTTTATGTTGTTATGGTTGGCTTTTGAAGTTTAAATCATAATTTCACAGATACCCCGATGAAGAAGCTGGTGAAGTGCCCATGGCTTGTGTGGTAAGACGTCCTCAAAGCAGCCTTGATGAAGCACAAGTAGTGGAATTTGTAGCAAAACAGGTGATTTCCTTAAATATATATGCATTATACACTCTTTTTGTGTAAGCCTTTTGTTTGTAAATATCTTTTCTCCATTGTTCAATTTTTGAGCGCCGCCCTCAGGAGGTGGCATGTGAAGAAGAGGGACAGGGAGAGGGTAGAAGGGGATGCTCTGAACGGATCAAAATTACGAATCTTGAATTTATTTGATATTTGATTCAAAAATAGAACTTCATTTATTTAGTCACCATTCTTGAAAATTTGATTGATTACTTCTCAAGAATCTCCTCATCCTTATGCATGAGCTAATAGCATAGTCTTTTTTTACTCCTCTTGGCTGCAGGTTGCACCATACAAGAGAATAAGGCGCGTAGCATTTACTAGTTTCATTCCCAAAAGTCCAGCAGGAAAAATATTGAGGAAGGAGTTAAGAAATATTTTCTCAGGGCCTCTGTCAAGGTTGTGATTGCTTTGGTTTTACTTTCATTATTGTGTACACAAATTTAATTTTAAGATTTATATTCTTAAGTCTTTCAGTTAAATAATTTACACCAAGCAAGCTCTCTTTCTGGTTAGAAACAATATTCGTGAAAACAACTAATTTAAAGTTTTATATTCGTCGAATAATGTTATTCAAATCAAATTTAAATTCAATGTTGCTAATAGTTTGCAAGTCACAAAATTTAGAGAGCCATCAACTGAGTTTTAGTCTCCTATTTTATCTCTTCTCAATTGTTAGTCTAGTTGATGAAAATAACAACTAAGATTTAGCCAAAATTAAGATTGAAGATTGTTTAGTTAAAATTACATCAAACAATTTATAGCAAATTCTATTTTTTGAGAAAATTTATATAGTAAAGTAGTTTACAATTCAAATATTAAAAGATAAACAAAATGATTTTTATTTTTCGCGGTTCAGATCATTTTAAATTTTACTTTAAAATTAATCTAACGGCTAATATTAACACCCTAAATTTAATAAGAAAAATAGGGTCATAAAGGTGTGTTTAGAATGTCTTTTTAAAAGTACTTTTATGAATTATTTCTCATAAGTACTTGAAAAAAAAATATTGTTTGAAACTATCCCACCACTACCTTTACCACCACCACTACCTTTATCACCACCATCGTCACCATCACTACCACCGCCACTGTCGTCGCCGTCACCACCACCACTATCGTCGCCGTCACCACCACTACCACCATCGCCGCCCCACCGCTGCCTGTGCTTGAAGGCACAAATAATAATTAGTATATCTAGATAATAAAGTACAATATAATTCAACTATCAAAAGATAAACAAAACGACTTTTACTATTCGCGATTATCTCTTTAAATTTTATTTTAAAATTAATCTAATGGCTAATATTAAAACCCGAAATTTAATAGAAAAAATAGGCTCCTAAATGTATTTTTGGAGTAATTTTTTAAAAGTATTTTTAGAAATTATTTCTCATAAGCACTTTAAAAAAAAAAATTCTCATAAGTGTTTTAATGGCTAATATTAAAACCCTAAAGGTGTTTTTGGAGTAATTTTTTAAAAGTATTTTTATAAATTATTTCTCATAAATATTTTTTTTAAAAAAAAGAGTGTTTGGAATCACTCTACCACTATCTCTACCACCATTACCCCCACCGCTCCACCACCACTGCCACCACAACCCACCCCCATCATCACCACAGCTGACGCCGCCACCGCCAAAACAACTATCTCAACCCTATCACAGCCACTGCTCCACCACCACTACCACAGCTCTCTATTACTACCACCTCCACTGCCCCACCCATCATCATTACCACTGCCTCAGCACCACCACCTTCACCGCCCCATCACTATACTCACGATCATCATAAACTACCACCACTACCATTGCCCCACTTGCACCCCACCCTCTCACTGGCCCATTGTCACCCACTACCACTGCCCCAATTCCACTTGCACCCCTACCACCACCACTGCCCCATTTGCAACCCACCCCTCTTATTGCCCCACTGTCACTATCATTACTATCGCCACCCACCATTGATTGCTATCATCGTTGTCCACTATCACCACCTATCACCATCATTATCTTATTCTTATATTTATTACCATTACCACAATCATCCCATTAAACATCGTCGCCCTATTGTCAGCACCCACCACTATCATTATTGCTAACCGTCACCCATTATCACGACCAATCATCACCTGTCATTGCCCACTATCGCCACCAGTCATTGTCACCCATCCCCATCACACCTACCATCACCACTCGTCATTGCCCACCATTACAGCTACCCACTATTACCTACCTCCACCATACTCACCACTGCATCCATTTGCTATCACTCATCACACTGTTGTCTAGAAACACCTATCGTTGCCCACAACCACCGTTGTCGTCCCACCACTACCACTACTAACCACCATTACCGTCGTCCACCACCTCCCACACCCACTACCACCACTGCTGCCACTACCATTATTGTCACCAAAAAATTCATCGCCACTATCACCGTTATCACCCGTGGCTACCACCACTACCATGATTGTCACTACCCACCAAAACCATCATCGTCTCCCACCATCACTACTATCGTCTACCACCACTAACGTCGCTCACCCCCATTACAATCGATATTTAAATTTTTTTATCTCTCTTTTATGTTTGTAATTTGATTTTGAGTGTGAATACAAATATATTTATTACTCTGTGCATTCAAACACGAAAAATAACTAGTATTAAATATAACAATAACACTACGTGAGCATCATTACTAAAGCCTATATAAAAAAGTAAAGTTCACTTTCATAATGGTAACACCCTCATTACACCGAATGTTTAGGGTAAATTTTATTTTGTCCTTTGAAATATTCAAATTTTTTAATTTGTCCCATGAATAATTATTTTTTTTACATTATTTTTTCAAAAAAATAAAAATATTTCAATGTGGTCCACTGTCTTATTTTTATTTGATCGTTCTTCTATTTTATAATTCTTGATTGATTGACTTGATACAAAACATATGGCTGCCCAAATGAAAATAAGTTATTCGACCAAATATTTTTATTTCTTTGAGAAAATAACGTAGAAAAATTAATAATTCAGAGAGCAAATTAATTTTTTTTTAAAATTTTTTCAGGGTCAAAATGAGATTTTACTCCTATTCTTGATGAGTTCATAAAAATCCAGAATCTTTCCGGGACAACCCGGACCCAAAACTTAACGACCAGCACCCATGGATCCAAATCGAATAACAGAGTACGACAGACTACTCCGTGCGAAGCAATCCTTCGACCGTTCTTCTCAGTTCTCTCCATCTCTCTCTGTTAGCAGAAAGAAATCTAACCCAGGAAAATTCAGTATGCGCCTCATTCATCAAATTCAAACACCATAGAGATCGAGCTCATTATAGCGTTTGAGCAATTCCACAAGACCCTGACATTTTCAATCTCAATTCTCACACGTAAATGGACATACTATTTGCTCAGATCCAAGCGGACCTCCGGTCCAACGACGCTCTCCGTCAATCCGGCGCACTCCTTCAAGCTCTCCAGCAATCGGCGGCGGGCCGCGACATCTCCGTGATCGCTAAGTCCGCCGTGGAAGAGATCGTGGCCTCTCCGGCCTCCGCCATATCGAAAAAGCTAGCATTCGACTTAATTCGCTCAACACGCCTCACCGCCGACCTTTGGGAAACCGTCTGTACTGGCATTCGCTCCGATCTCGACTTCCCCGATCCTGATGTCACTGCCGCCGCAGTCTCCATACTCGCCGCCATACCCTCGCACCGTCTCGGTAAGCTAATCGCCGATTGCAATAAAGAAATCTCCAACTGCTTCGACTCTCCCAGCGACAATCTCCGCTTCTCCATCACGGAAACCCTTGGTTGCATCCTCGCGCGGGATGATCTCGTGACATTATGTGAGAACAACATGAATTTGTTGGATAGGGTTTCGAATTGGTGGACTAGAATTGGTCATAATATGCTGGACAAGTCTGATGCGGTGTCAAAAGTCGCGTTTGAGTCCGTTGGAAGGTTGTTTCAGGAGTTTGAATCGAAAAGAATGAGCCGATTGGCTGGTGATAAGCTAGTAGATAGTGAAAATTCCGTTGCCATTCGATCAAATTGGGTTTCATCCATGGTTGACTTTGTATGGAGGAAGCGAAGCACGATAATGTCAAGGTCATTAATTCTTCCGGTGGAGAGTTTTAGGGCCACTGTCTATCCACTTGTGTATGCGGTGAAATCAGTGGCTTCGGGTTCAATTGAAGTGATTCGGAAGCTTTCGAGGTCGTCCAAAAGTCCCAGTGCCAATGGAATGGAGTCCGGTAATGGGGAGAGGTTTGTGGGAGTGTCGGATGTGGTTACGCACTTGGCACCATTCTTGGCATCGTCGTTAGATCCGGCATTGATTTTTGAGGTGGGGATTAACATGTTGTACTTGGCTGATGTCCCTGGAGGCAAGCCAGAGTGGGCTTCCTCGGCGACCATTGCAATTCTTACTCTTTGGGACAGGCAAGAATTTTCTTCGGCAAGGGAGAGTATTGTGAGGGCTGTTGTTACGAATCTACATCTTCTTGATCTTAGTATGCAGGTTCGTTTACCCATTTCCTGCTTTATTCCTCTTCTTAAATGTCGTGGGCAAATTTCTGTTCATGTAAAGTAACGAATAGTAGATAGACTAATTTGCTGTGCCGCTGGGAGCATATCAAGCTAAGAATATACTTACTAAAATCTCGATAACTTGGAGCCATTTTATGAAAGACAGGTCTGTTGTGGCCTTTCATCCTAATGAAAAAAAAAAGAGAAGGGGACTAAATATGGTGGGAAAGAACTTAGATTTGAACCAATCATCTGCATATTGTTTTTTAACCAGAACATATATGCTTTTCATATATTTTATGCATTTTAAGAGTTTAGAATAAATTAGTGTTCCAATGACCATCAAAATGCAAAGAGAATACATTTGCTAATTTGCTTTTCATATGGTTGTGGGGTGATAACATCATAACATTGCATCCCTCAACATAAAAGGTAAAATAATATAATATGAGAAAGTTCTGTGATGGTTCATGCTTTGGATCATGTTAATACACTCAAGGTGACCATAAACATTCGTCAGGCTATGTCTTTTTCTTCTTGCAGGTTTCTTTGTTTAAAAGGTTGCTTCTCATGGTGAGAAACTTGAGGGCTGAATCAGATCGCATGCATGCTTTAGCATGCATTTGTAGGACTGCTCTGTGTGTTGATCTGTTCGCAAAGGAAAGTGTTCGAAGAGGTCAGAAACCTGTTCCTGGAACTGATATTGCTTCACTTTTTGAGGATGCACGGATTAAAGATGACCTCAACAGTGTAACAAGCAAAGGTTTATTCAGAGAAGAATTAGTTGCCACATTGGTAGAAAGCTGCTTTCAGTTGTCCTTGCCTTTGCCTGAACAAAAAAATTCAGGTATGGAGAGCAGAGTGATTGGAGCATTGGCATATGGAACTGGTTATGGCGCACTAAATTGGACAGAGCCGGCTTTGGAAGTGGTGGAAGTGTGTAGGCCATGTGTTAGGTGGGATTGCGAGGGTCGAACATATGCCATTGATTGCTATCTGAAGCTGCTGGTTAGGCTTTGTCATATTTATGATACCAGGGGAGGTGTCAAAAGAGTCAAGGACGGGGCGTCTCAGGATCAGATTTTAAATGAAACACGATTGCAAAACTTGCAATGGGAACTTGTCAAAGATCTACGCGAGGTTTGTACACCTTCTAAAGTTTCATATATGTGACGCCTCACCTAGCTCTTTCCAACCTATTTTATTTAGTCCTGCATCCAGAACATATGTTTATTTGAACATGCTATAAGTTTATATTGTGCGTTGCAGGTAAGTATTGTAGTCATGAGGTTTATGTTCGTTATTTTAACAAGTGAGCTAAACTGTCACTCTTTAAGTTTATAATTATAACAACAAATTTTTAATTTGGATCTTTAACCCCAACTAGTATCACTAGTTTTTATATTACTTACATAATGGCCCCTACATTCCCAAAAGAGAGCAGAGATATGTGGAGTACAATGAAAAAGGCTTAAAAATGGCAGGAGGGAAGGAAAAATTCATTTAAAAAGCCTATCTTCCCCGAGTTCTTAAAAAAAAAGAGAGCCTATTTTCCCGCTCTTAAGTATGAGCAAAATGATGGGTCAGATTGTATTAGACATAAGCTTCATGGAACATATCACTACGTATATGCCGAAGCTTTAAACTTTGCTAACTTCATTGTCGCCAGATTGTATTATGGGGTCAGATTGTATTATGGCTTTATTTCATTGGAAAGTGTACTTATACCCATTTTGGAAAGATGTTTCTTATTTATCAATTCACTTGTTTTAAGTTTCAAGTATTCTTTCCTTATTTCTCTTCTTCTCTTTTCTTGTTAACTGCATTCTGCTCCTATGTGTATATCTTTTGTGTTGACTCTCATTCTGTGTACGACAAGCATTTGTTATTTCCATTGGGTCTTGGTTAGTTAACATCATTTCCATTTGGCAGGTGAATACCCCTAGAATTCTTGCTCGTCTAATTTGGGCTATCTCAGAACATATTGATCTAGAAGGTTTGGATCCACTTCTAGCTGATGATCCCGAGGACACGCTAAACATTTTTATATCCAATATCCATAAAATGTTGTTCAATATTGAATCATCTGCAACTACAACAAATAGGCTTCAAGATGTTCAGGCAGTTCTTCTATGTGCTCAGAGGTTGGGGTCACGAAATGCTAGGGCAGGGCAGTTGCTGACCAAAGAGCTTGAAGAGTTTCGGAGCAACGGCTTGGCTGATTCAGTTAACAAGCATCAATGCCGTTTAATATTGCAGAGAATCAAATATGTTTCTAGTCATCCAGAAATCAAGTGAGCATCCCATTCTTATCTTGTAATTCCGAATACCAGGCTGAGTAGAATCTTATAATCTGGGTGCAAGTGTGAATTTTACTAAGGTCCTATGACTGTTACAGGAAGAGGACAGTGCATACCGTGCACTGGAATTTCATTTGGATATATATAACCTTTATTTTTGGACAAAAGACTCTTTTAATTTTTTTTACATGGGAATAAAACCTGTCAGCGGAGAAAGGAAACCGAAGGTGAAAGGCTGCAGTTTTTGCTGTTAAGTCCAAGCTTTATGACTTCCTCAAAACTACTTGGCATTGTACCATGTTTGAAGCAGTGAAATAGTGGATGTACTTCCTGTTATTTGATGGTCATGCAACTTTTTCTTTTTTCATTGTCCTAGAGAATTGTAAGCTTATGCAACTTCTTATTGCCATCCTCGACCTTCCCTACCCCCAACCTCCATTATTATCCCAGGAATCAATTTTTAGCCATTGCACATGACTATGCCAATCTCCAAGTAACCAACAGTGGCATATAATGACCAGAATGCATTCAAGGTTTGCGTAATTCTGACAATTATTGTACTGTTTGTATTATGTTGTATGTTCATAGTACATAAATATATCTAGTCAGGGACTTCGGCTCGGGCTAAATCAGATTGCCAAGCACACTCAACTTCAGCCCACATGTGCCTTGGTTGAATTGGTACCTTTTATAATTAGAGCCAACTACTCATTTGGATAGACTTTGGTTGGCCATGTTCAATCTGCCCAAGTTAGAATTCTATTCCTGCAACTTGACTGTGGGTTGAAGGCTAACCAAAGCCTATCCGAAGGGCCTGTCATGGCCCATCACAACTGCCTATGATATTGTCTGATTTGAGTTATCCCTTGACCACAGCTTAACCCAGTCCTACATTCTGTGTGAAGTTTGAAGCACCAACCTAGGCTCAAGAATATTGTGTTCATCTACAAGTCCTTCCAGGGAAATAGTTACCCCTCTTTTTCTCTCTAGCATAATTAGTTACATTGTGTTTCTTTTTCAGGTGGGCTGGTGTAAGTGAAGCCACAGGAGATTACCCATTTAGCCACCACAAATTAACTGTTCAGTTTTATGAAGCACCTACAGCTCAGGACCGAAAGTTGGAAGGGTTGGTTCACAAGGCTATTTTAGAACTTTGGAGCCCTGATCCTAATGAATTAACTCTATTGCTAACAAAAGGAATTGACTCCACTTTACTAAAAGTTCCTCCGAGTGCATATACTCTGACTGGTAGTAGTGACCCTTGCTATGTCGAAGCATATCATTTGACAGATTCAAGTGATGGAAGGATCACTCTGCATCTCAAGGTCAGAACATCTTTCCTTAACTGTTGTAGATGCGTCTGTAAACTCCTTTTTGCCAGAAATGTTGTATGCATAGAGATGTTCCCTTTTTTTTTCAATAAATATTATAGTGAATAAAGCAATAAAGACCATTGTCTGGTTACATGTGAGGTGGACACCAGAATGATCAAACAGCAGCACATGACAAGATAGAAAGTAGGGACTAGGAACTCAGAAATAGGTATTTGAAGTCCAGTGCCAGCTGAACACCCCAGCTGAACAGTGGCATAGTAAAAGTCTCACTTGAATAGTCAGAACCTCCAAATTTTGTGAACTTTTAGTATCGTGCTCCTTCCATATATGCCAAAGAAGGTTCTGAGAGGCACCTTTCTCATATGAGGAGAAATATCTCAAGGTGTCAATTTTAAAGTGAAATAGGGTTCTTCTACAGCATGTTTTTGTAGTTCTCTTTTGTATGGGAAGGGTACCATCAACTGAATGAGATCAAAGAGGAAAGACCCGTTTACATTATGCACATGTTTGTTTGTGGCTAGTTAAAAGTCATAGATTGGTAATGGATTATTAAAAATTAAAATAGGAAAATTTTGTGATGGTGCTATCACATGCACAAGAATTTCTTTGCATAAGATTATGGGGAAATGGAAAATAAGGAGAGATATTGTAGACCAAAAAAAGAACTAAATAATGAAATTAAGGTGACATGTCATTCATTTTGAATATGCTTAATTTGTGGTTTTGTGGTGTGCTATGATTAAATAGCTATTATAATGCACTCTATGGGACATTATTCGAAGGTAGGTAGCATTTTTGAAATCATTCAAGTTCTTGAACACACTTGTCAAGTATTATCTCCTAATGTTACTTTCTCATTCTTTGCATTATACCCATTTCTGTTTTTTTACAAATTAAGTTTCTTTTTTGATTAGATTTTGAAGGTGATATTAAGTTTAATAAGTGAAAGCCTTTGGGGGATTTGCTTCCAGTTGTGCTAACAATCAGATCTGTTGTAGGTTCTAAATTTGACTGAAATTGAGCTGAATCGGGTCGATATTCGAGTTGGGCTATCTGGTGGATTATATTTTATGGATGGATCTCCTCAAGCAGTGCGGCAATTGCGCGATCTTAATTCACAGGTTGCTTTGGGATATCATTTAATATATTGATTGTGACTCGTCAATGCATATTTTTCATTTTAGTTTACTTCTTGTAATTTCTTGGTTGATGAATTTTTGTTCTTAAACAAGAAGCAAAAACTACTGCAGGTGGGTTTGATAATCTGTATGCCATAAGCAGGTTAAAAGCATCAACAGCCTCTTCTTCGGTGTGATTGCACGATTTTTGTTGGCATATGGTTGCTACATTTATGGTCTGTCAGGACTTGGGCATTACTAAGTTGTTGAAGTATAAGGGATAGTGGTTTAAAAAACTGAACTGCTTTGTTGCTGAGCTGTGTAATGGCCTTGCATTATTCATAATGGTGCATTTGGAAACAGCGAATTGTGGGATCTTGAATGTTTCTATTTTTAACCTTAAAGCATGTGTATCAGCCTTAGGGAGAAAGTAATGTACAGTTGTGAGTCTTTTGATTCTATTTGTTGAGGTTTTCTCTTCAATGAAGTCTCTTTTGGTTGCAGCTCTCTGTGCACACGTAGGGTGTGCTTGGACTATTCTGTCTCTATTTTATCTCCTTGATATAGTTTCTCTTATTCAGCCGCTCAATTTCCCAAAAAGAAAAAAGTTGTAGCTTTCTGTCCTACGATCCTAGAATTTGAGTAACTTTCTATTAGGATATACTAATTATGGAATGCTTGGTCATATGAGTGTGCGCAGATGAGAGAAGAAAAGTCCAAGGTCTTCTGAAAAAGCATGTTTTTTAGTGAGTCCCAGGACTCCAGTTCTTGCATTGAACCAATATTGAGAAACCACAAGCACAAAATCCAAAAAAACAAGCTAAGAATTCAAAAAAGGACCCAGCAAAAGTTATATGTTCCTGCTTCACGTGCGCGCTTACAAGTTCGATAGCATTTGTGCGTGTTATTTACTGATTTATTTTATGTTTTTGGTTTAAGCCTATACTTCTGATCCCACAAGGAAATGATAACAAGTGTTTTCACTTTGAAAATTTAGTTGTGTTTTTCCTTGTTGCCAAAGTATTTTAAATATGTAGGTTTATGTTAAAATTTACTTGATATGATTGTTTGTAGGATCCAGTGCTTTGCAGTGTGACTGTAGGCGTCTCCCACTTTGAGAGATGTGCTCTTTGGGTTCAAGTGTTGTACTACCCCTTTTATGGTAGTGGTGCTTCAGGAGATTATGAAGGGGACTATGCTGATGAAGATCCACAAGTCATGAGACAAAAGAAAAGTCTAAGGCCAGAACTAGGAGAACCTGTGATTTTGAGATGTCTTCCTTACAAGATTCCATTGTCTGAGATTCTCATGCCACATAAAATCTCACCTGTGGAATATTTCCGCCTATGGCCTAGTTTACCTGCAATAGTGGAGTACACTGGCACATACACATATGAAGGAAGTGGATTTAAGGCTACTGCTGCACAGCAATATGGGGCTTCCCCTTTTCTGAGTGGACTGAAATCTCTGTCTTCCAAGCCTTTCCATAGAGTTTGCTCACATATTATCCGGACAGTGGCTGGATTTCAGGTACATTCTAATATTTCTTTGTTGACGTACCAACTCTTTCCATTATAGATGTGCAACCATTTCATCGACATAATACCTAAATTGAACTTCCGTACTGGTGATTACTTAAATCGACCTTGCATTGCTCCTTTACCCACATCTGCTGTTTACTGTCATGATATGTTTAATCTTTCACTCTTCAAGCGTGCATTAGTTTGTTTAGTTTGGAGCTGAAATCAGTTACTGGCTCATATATAGTTACCTTTTTGCTTAACTTTATCTTGTGAACCGTGAGAGAAATTTTATTAATGTCTTAGGGAAAGATCATGAAAAAATAATTGAGATGTCAAAAAGTACAATATAATACAAGTTGAAACATGATGACTAGTCTCTGAACTTTAGAACCAGAAGGTACTGTTGTTTGCTCACCCCCTCTCTCCCCTCTTCAAAAGCTAAAATATCAAATCATTCTTAGATCTGGTTTGGCTTCACTGCCGATGCCCCCTCAGAGGTACCCAATGTCTACTTTAATTACTTTCTGGTCTTGAACAGCTCTGCTTTGCTGCAAAAACATGGTATGGAGGCTTCTTGGGCATGATGATTTTTGGTGCCAGTGAAGTGAGCAGAAATGTGGACCTGGGTGATGAGACAACGGCCATGATGTGCAAATTTGTTGTTCGAGCTTCTGATGCATCCATCACAAAGGAGATTGAGTCAGACCTACAGGCCTGGTTGGATGACCTTACTGATGGCGGGGTTGAGTACATGCCAGAAGATGAAGTAAAGGTGGCTGCTGCTGAGAGATTAAGGACCTCAATGGAACGGATAGCCTTGTTAAAGGCTGCTCAACCCCGTCCCAAGGCTCCAAAATCTGATGACAAAGAAGAAAAAGGCAACGAGGAGCAAGACGACGATAAAAAGACAACAGAGGACAAGGAAAAGAAAGAAAAAGGGGAGAAACCATCAACTTTGTTTGAGTTAACTGCGGAGGAGGTTGAGCATCGTGCTCTACAGGCCGCTGTGCTACAAGAGTGGCATATGTTGTGCAAAGATAGAAGCACCAAAGCTAATTAACTCCAGAACTTTAGAAGGCAAGGAAAGTTTTGAATATATTTTTTTTACTGTTGTATTTCTGTTTAGTTACTTGGGTTAGGTAGTTGGCAGATATAGGTGCTACTTTTTTCATTGTATGTTCTCCGTTGGCCTCCCCTCCTCCTCTTTTTCTTTCATTTTCCTCTGTTGCGTTGTTATTCTTTGTGGTGTTGTATTCTTGTACCGACTAGTCATCAGGCAGTTGATGTTGATAAAGTGATTGAGATTAATACATTTTTATTGAAAGATTCTTTGGCGGCAGGTTTCGATTCTCTCACATGTGTTGAATCTTCGGTATGTGTCATGTTGACCATATTGCATTCCCAGTTTAGATTTACAATTGTGTGCTGGTGAGCTGGGTAGTTTCTTATTTCTTAGCCTTATTATTTGGTTATTGACTCGTTGGTGGAGAATTCAATGCTTAATGAAAGGACTATCTCCTTTGGTTGTGTTGTAATGAAATGATTACTTTGTCATGCGTTCTAATTCTTCATCTGGAGAAACTTATAGATAGATGGTTATGACCTTTTGAGTGTATTTTAACACCTCGCATGAAGGTTGTTTGCATGTATAGTTTGCTTCCATGGTGATGGCTCCATGTGTAGGAATTCCCTTCCCCTTTTCCAACTCATGTCCTATGCTGGTTTACTTAACCCTATACCCCTTCAAGGAAGGAACAATAAAGATCAATTGAACCAAACAACTATTTGTCCTCTGCTGTTTTAATCTAGAAATGATCAACTCAATTCAAGCGATTTACAATCAAAAATTGTTTTCAGAGACTTTTTAAAGATTTCTTTGCAGGCTCTTGTTGCTGGGAAAGTGGGCCTTCGTTTTGTAATTGTTGATTTGAATAGGCCAGTTGGGCTCAACGGTTCATGCTTTGAACTATATCTTTAGTTGGGCCCAAAAGAAGGCCCAATCACAAGCCTGTTTTGGAGGTCCGTGATTGTTTCTTCCCAAATCATCACAAGATCAGAGAAGCTCCCCGAAGCAAAACGAAGCACACTGAGAGAGAGAGAGAGAGAGAGAGCACGACAGAAAATGGCGGACTACCACTTCGTGTACAAGGACGTGGAAGGAGCATCGACGCAGTGGGACGATATTCAGAGAAAAATTGGCAACCTCCCTCCGAAGCCCCCTGCGTTCAAACCCCCTCCTTTCGCACCCGCCGAAGAACTAGATTCCAAACCCAAAGACAAAGCTTGGATCGATGACAAGACCGAAGAAGAGCTCGAAGATCTCGAAGATGACCCCGATCTGGACGACGATCGCTTCCTCCTAGAATACAGGTACTCTCTTTATCCCTTAATTCCGCCACGAAGGGAAAGGAATTACATAATAAAATTGAAAACCCTTTAATGGTGATTGAATTATTACAATCGATGTAATTAACTGTATTTGTTTCAAGTTTGCTATTAAGTGATTCTATTTTCGTGGTGGTTGTGTATTTAAAGGAAGAAGAGGTTGGCAGAGATGAGAGAAGTAGCTAAGGTTTCGAGATTTGGATCAGTGATTCCGATTTCTGGTTCGGATTTTGTGCGCGAGGTTTCACAAGCTCCACCGGACGTTTGGGTTGTCGTGATCTTGTACAAGGATGGGTAATTGTTATGGATAGCTTCATTCTTTTTTCAATCTTCACTTCAGTATATGGTATTAATAGCTTTACTGTAGGGGGTGCTGAGTTCTATCGTTTCAGTAAATCTGTTTGAATAACAAATGCATATATACAACAAAATATAGAAGCAAATATGCTCGTGTGTTTGTCTAACTCTGCTGTACTTTGTGATAGGTATCCAGAATGCAGGGTACTTTTGCAATGTTTGGAAGAACTGGCGGCAAGATACCCCGCAACAAAATTTGTTAAGATAATTTCTACTGATTGCATTCCTAATTATCCAGATCGTAATCTTCCCACTTTGTTGGTGTACAACAATAGTGCTGTCAAGGCAAATTATGTGGGCTTGCATAGTTTTGGTCGGAGCTGCTCTCCGGAAGGTAACTTTCCTGAATATCTTGCCAAGCATCTCTCTCTCTCTCCAGTTGTTTTGCCATATGCCCCTTGAATCACATGCTACTGTGTTTCCTGTCGCCATGAGAGTTGTATAGGCATATAACAAAATTTTGTTATGATACATAATTGATCTGTCGGAATCATCGCAGAAAAAAAATCAATGTCATTGCTCCTTAATCCTTTTTGGAATGGGAGTGTTTTGTGTATTCTATGCTTGAATCACATGCTACTGTGTTTTCTCAGCCAGAGTTTGTAACACTTAAGGGGACCTGTCCAATGATCAGTGGCTTGCTAGGATTAAAAAGTCTCTACATAATATATTTATAATTACAGAGGAATATGGGTTGAAGGACCTGTTACTAGTTCCCTGGGTTGCCTTGAAAAATCGATATATCACATACGCCAGTGATAAACCAACAGTTTCAGCAATGTTGTTTATCATTTATGCAGTGTTCTTTGAGTGCCAATCATTTCCTTCTAGAACTCCTTTTTGTTTCAATGGACAAACATAAAAGTGGTTTCTGTTATTCTGCTTAGTTTGCTTCATTCAGGTTTTAAAACTTGAATCCGATGATTTTGGTCACATTTTTTTTGATTAACCTGCTGGCCTGATTCTGAGACGTCCTGATTGAAGAGTTTGCTCATCAAAATTTGTAGGTGTTGCGTTAGTTCTCTGCCAGTCGGATCCTGTGCTTACTGATGGCCAGAGTGGTAATGAACAGTCTAGAAAAGCTGTACTTGATGGAGTGAGGAAGAGGTTTATAGAGAAGGTGGTTACAGAGCATGAAGACGACGATGATGGATCTTCAAGTGATTAGGATCGTAGATCTTTTTTGCCTCATCCTATTTTGCCTTTCTTTTGGTAATTTAGAGGAGATTTTGTGCTGTGTAGTGATGAAGCTATTGGCCTTACTTTGATTTGTGCTACTTATGCTTGCTTTTGCCAGTTTTTGTTTTTTATTTTCAATTGTTTAAACTAATATGTATTTATCTGATGTCTCGCATGTTTTGTAAACCCCAAAATCAATTACATAAGGATCTCATGTTGTTGGTGTACTCTCTTTTCTGAATGTTGTGCTTCATACATGAACTGAATTTCATTCAAACTCCAATTGCTCTTGATTTGGTTTGTGTTAAGTTAAAAAGCCACCTGGTGGAGCGTTAGTTTGGTGAACTAATGTTCAACCTAGTTGTTCACTTTAAAATCATCCCTCTGAGCTCTTCATGTGATGTTTGGTACAATAATACGAAAACAAGTAACATCGCAGACCATTTTGTATTACACATCAAAATAAGACGTATATCTCATTCAATGGCAGTTTGCACCGCGTTCACTGCATCTTGCGTACTGAATATATTACACACATTCTTGATGCAGTATCACGAGCACTCTTGATGTTTCAAACAATCCAAAGAGAAAAAGCACAACTAAATGCAATATGTATTTGAGAAAACTATCAATCTACCGTCCTAGTATTGCTTCAACGCAAGATGCCTACTCCAAGTTAGCCAATCATTAATAAGGTTCTAAACAGGAAGACTAAGCTTAGTGATCAAGCTCGGCAAGCCGCCGAAAAATAGAATGTGTAGCAGAATCCTCATCGTAACTTGAGCTTCAAACACGACAAAGAAAAACTGATAAGCCCCATTGTTCTTTCTATGCTTGCCAAAATAAGTACCCCATCTAAACAAAATCCCGATGACATTATAACAGATTCCAAGGGAAGGCTGCCATGCCAATATCATTTTTTGAGCCAAAAAAAAAAAGAAGAAAAGCAGGAGCCCATGACCAGATCTAGGGTGTTTACATGGAGTATATAAGCAAATCTCTTGCCATACTTCTCTAGGCACTCAATTCTGCTTTGACCTCTTCTTTCTTTCTGCCTTTTCTTGTATCCGTAGTGCCTTCTTGCTGTTGCTCAGTCTTCTTCTGAGCTCGAATCATAGCTCGCCTCACGCGGGGACGCATTTCTCTTACTTGTCGTGGAGGCATCACAGCTAGTTCGATGGGCCTATCACCAAAGGGGTGCTCATTGCCAGCAAATATCCTCAGTTTTCGATCTCTATCCTGCATACCAAAGCAGCAATGTTAAAAGTACAGAAACACAGGACGCCTCCAGGATAAATTATCTAATCATATCTTTCAAGCTCGTAAACCAACAAACTGCTTTGAATCCACCAGTATAAAAAGATCTAACAAGCAAGCTTTAGTGATTTATGAAAACATTAACTCTGTTCAATAGTCCTCCCTCGATTACTCTCCAACCAACACAACTTGCTTGTAAAACCATCATCCATACAATACCCTCAACCTGTCTCCAGCAACCACCTTGATATGTTAAACAGGTGATCACACTTTTCATGTCCCGAAAGAATTACAGTCATTTGGCACTGGTGGGTAATGAAAAAGCAGTTACACTTCTCTTCCAGAGGAACCCAAGTGTCTTAGATATGAATTGCATGACGTCGTAAATGCTCT